ATGATTACTTTGTCAGAAGAATTTGATAGATTGAATGGCATGCAAAATTGCATGTGATAATAGAGATTGAATGAAAAAATTGACAATATTTTAAATTGTCCAATTATAAAATAAATATCAAGTGACATTATATTAATTTTTATGTCAACTTTGATGTTCGTGTATCATGATTGTTTTTCACAAAACTTATCTTCCAAAATTCTCTAAATAAATTGTGGAGTTAATTTTTTATGGTAAGTTTAGCCAGTAGGAAGAGTTAATTTGGAATTGGAAATAATATGAGAGTATGAAGAAGAAAAAATTCACCATGGAACTCAGGGAAGGACAAGGTGGGCCAACGTCAAAGCACGAATCCCAAAAGAAAAATTATTAGACTGGTGAAGACAAGAGCTTCATCTACGCTTCTCACCGACCTGTCAATTTCGCATCCCCCACAAGCCCACTAACACTCGTTAAATTCTGTAATAATTAATTCAGAAGAAACCAAAACACTCCCTGTTGCTGCGTAAAATTATAAGAAAAATGTTTCAAAAGAACCTTAAAAGAAAAAATTATTGAGTGCTTCTTCCAATATTCATTCTTGTATCAGAGATATTTTGTTTTATTTCATCCCACTTTTGGGTAAGGGGTTTGACTCCTTTCATCCCTCCCTACAGTTGTTGCCCAGTGAGTTCTTCTTTCTCATTCAACTTCTCTTTAAATTCAACTCATGATCATTTTTATTTTATTCTCTGTTCATTTAATATGAAATCACTGCAATCTAGCTGTCCAGAACTGAACCTTGATTATTGTTTTGAAAGAGAAGGTGTTTTTACAGGTTCTTTTGTGATGGTCTAGACTCTGGGCATTTTTGTGTTGAATTTTGGTGTGGTTGACTTGCTGTAAGCTTGCTTTGATTGAATTGGGGATTTTCGTATTGTGGGTCATATTTAACTCTGCTAAATTATTACTGAAATGGAATTTCTTGTTTGATTTTATCTCATGAGCGTTCTTTATTTCGTTTCATGTTTATGTGATTAGTTTCTTTGGACTTTTTGGTGAGTATTCTTTCACCGAGATTGAAATTGAGTCTGTTGATGTGGTAGAATTTTGCATAAACTTCAACTTTTGATGTCCGCAGCTACTACAATTGTTTCTTGATGTTAATAAAATTAGAAAGATATTATTTGCAATCCTTCTATGCAGTTATGAAGCTTGTTTTGAAGCTAGTTGAGGGCTCACTTAAGGGTTCATAGCTCAAAATGAAAATATTTTCCTCAGTTGCATTTTTACCCTAAAAAATAAAAATTAAGCTCTATTCTTTAAAGTTTAAACACTAACGATGCATTTGGTGGGGACGATTGAATAGCAAATAGCACGAGACACTATTAAAGAAGATAAAAGTTTTCGATTTTGCTCTGTATATAGTTGAAACCTTCTAGCACTGCATGCAAAACATGCTCGATAATTGATGATCACTTACCTGGAATTTGGCAATGAAAGGTTTTCCATGTCCATCCTGGCAGTTTGTCGACACATATACAAGATGCTATAAAGAAAAATGTGTGTTTAAATGAAATTGACTCCAGTTGCTCCTTCTCAAGTCCTGAATAATTTGTTTGAGTTTGCTTTGTTAAACAGCTAACTATTAGTAGTAAGTATACAACAATTCCAATACAATGAAGATTTGAGAAGTGCTTTACGTTTCAAATGTCTTCTCTTAAATTTTTAGACCATATTCTGTCGTGTGGCATTAGGGATATAAACTGAAACACAGAGATTTTCGGAAATGACTTAGCATTTATAAATTACAAAGTAATGACCGAGAACCATTAGTCTGTATTATAGTCTGCTATCGTGATTAGTTATAGCCTGTTATACATATTGTTTCATAAAACTGGAAGTTACCAGGTTTTTAATCGAGTCAAATTCAAATTTAACTTTGAAATTTGTTTTCTATAGTGATTTAGCTTCACCCGGATCTTATTCCTCTAAAACGATTTGCTATACTTGACATTATAGTAACAGGATTTGGTGGAGGCATCACTTATTTACAATTCAGGTTTGAAATTAAGGTGTAACGTATTATCCAGCTATCCGGTATCAGAAATCTTCAAAATATTATACCTTTTTGTTACTCACCTTGAGCTCGATTCAGCCTCAGTGAGTGTACCCTCGGTTTTTCATCCACACGTCACCTAGCATATGCACAAGAAGTAACAAGTGGCTGTAAATTAGTTTTGGGACTGCAAGAATGTTTGAATTCTCCTTTCCCTACAGTTTATTGTAAAAAGTTTGTTCTTTTATGCTATTTTGAAGCTATTCTTCTGCATTTACAGAAGATTTTCCCTTGCAATGTGTCAAATATCTCTTTCGTATATTTTGGCAGACTTTTATTTGTATGTGCTAATGGCTTTATTTCTTGCATGAGCTCTCCACATTTTTCTTCAGTTAGATAATGGCTATTATTGACTGCAAAGCTTTCGATTATGCAGTCTTGAACCAGTGAATTTTTAGATTTTTTGGGCAGCTGAATCCATGCTACATAATTTTCAACAGCTCGAAGTTCTAATTTTCCTTTGTTATGTTTTCACCAAAGCGTGCCGGTTTTGATGCTAGCTTTAGCTTTTAGCGCATGCTTGGTATGGAGAGAGAGGATATAGATAGTAGAATTATCAAGATTTTAGCTGCTGCTTCTTTTCTTCTTCCGTAATACCAAATATGCTAGTGATGTAAATGTTCCTATAGATACATTGCTCATGCATTAGTAGTTCTTGTAGCATAAAATTACTCTTCAAAAGACAGCTGTCAATGCTTGACATCCTTCTGCTTGTAATGAACTGAGTGTATTTCTTTTGATATCTTATTTTTATTGGTAAAATATTACAGCTCTCCCTAGAATTATTATAAAATGAAAACTAGCTTGAGAATTGATTTGAAATAGTTTTGAGTTGGAATATGGTTACAGGCCAAGGTTTCTGTGGTGTGGACTTGCTCAACTTCTGTTTTGCTTAGAGGGGAGTCGAAAATTGATCTTCATATTTGCCTAGTTTCTACTTCAGATCTCGGATGGATGATAGTGGACATCGCGAAAATGGAAGGAATAAACCACCTCAGGGTCAGGTAGCTGCAACTAATCCCAGCACATAATGACAATAATTGAGTACCTGTCTTTAAAGACAAAGCACGTTTGGGAAGTTTTTATGAGTAGTTTAAATTATAAATAGAGAGAAATGAGTGATGAATAAGTGAGTAATACTTATGGTTTGGGTCCCTCAAAATGCGTGGATAAAAAAGTGGCTTGAGTATTTATAAACAGTTTATAAAGATGAGCCAAACATAGGCTAATATGATACATAACATTAACTTGTTTGCTAATTAATCATGATTAAATGCTTTATTTCAGTGGTTTATGCAGCATCAACCATCGATGAAACAGATAATGGGCATTATGGCTGAAAGGGATGCTGCAATCCAAGAAAGAAATTTGGCCCTTTCTGAAAAAAAGGCTGCTCTAGCCGAGCGAGATGTGGCTATCCTGCAGCGAGATTCTGCAATGGTGGAACGTAATAATGCCATAATGGAGCGAGACAACGCTATTGCTACTCTTCAATATCGTGAAAACGCCATGAATAATGGTAATGTGTCACAATGTCCATCCGGATGCCAAATTTCAAGTGGGATGAAACACATAACCCATCTTCAGCAGCACACACACCATCAGTCCCAAATGGGTGAAGCTCCATATGATACCGGGGATACCCACATGAATGATACCACTCCATTGTCCCCGACAGCTCCCGAGCCTACAAAGTCCCGTCGTACAAAACGTGCAAATGAGGCAAAGGCAGTAACATCTACAAGGAAGAGTACAAAATCATCAAAGAAAGTGAAACAGGAAAGTGAGGACGCTGACAGAACATTGTTTCAAAAGTCACAAGAAGGTAAAAGTGGACCCGATATTGGTGTCAGCAGTGACGAACACAATAGGCAACTCGGAGAGGAAAAGCCAGATTGGAAGGATCAGGACCTTGGACTGAACCAGGTTGCATTTGACGAGTCGACCATGCCAGTACCCGTCTGCTCTTGCACTGGAGTTTTCAGGCCATGCTACAAATGGGGTAATGGAGGTTGGCAATCTTCGTGTTGCACGACGAATTTGTCAATGTATCCACTGCCAGCAGTGCCTAACAAGCGACATGCTCGAGTTGGTGGTCGGAAAATGAGTGGAAGTGCATTTAACAAGCTGCTTAGCCGCCTTGCTGCAGAAGGTCACGATCTCTCAAATCCAGTTGATCTTAAGGACCATTGGGCAAAGCATGGGACAAACCGCTATATCACCATCAAATAAGTAGCAGAGTATAACGGGCCTGCACGAGAGTAATTATAAGAAAATACCTATGCCCGATTCTTGAAGTATGTTCAGTGTTTACAATGGAATGAAGGATTCAATTGATTGCCAGGTTAATGTTCATCCTTTTCCATTTATAATGCATAAATATCGATTGACCCGCAAAATAAATGCATTGTGGGTTTGACAGTGGTGAATAGATGGCGAACTTGTATCCTTTATGCATGTATCTGGAGATATAGTTATCACGAATGGAATTCATCCATGTTTGGCATCTTCTTGTGTCTGTAATCTGTACTGAGTTTAAATAAAGAAATTAAACTCTGTTTCACATTTTTTGTCGTGCGAACTGCTTTTTCTTGGATGAGTGGATTTAACAATAACATGGCCGAAATCCCGGTTTAGATCATCAGCATGTTTGGATGTGCTTTTGAAAGTAATGGTTCCATAAAATGTTTGGTTAAAATTAATTATTTATTCTTTGTTAACATTTTTAGTTCAACCAAACACGGTCTTATTTTGATTATGATCTGTAATTGAAAATAATAAAAAATGAGAATGGATTGTGGACTGGATCATTCCGTTTGTGCACTTGAGTTTTGCTAAAGAGAAAATTACATGGTACCAGGTATTTAAAAGCCACAATTCAAAAGCCAGGGACCAAGTTTCATTGTGCACAAATTAGGTTTTGACATATAATATGAACCCTAATTTTATTTCCACCCACTTTTATTTAATTCTCACACTCGCACTTTCACTCTTCCTTTCCATCTTCATCCTCTGTCAGATGATGCCGTCGTCGTCGTTGGAGCATCCGCCGTTGGAGATCAACCTCATTTCACTTCGTTGTCGCCAACACGTTTCTCCGACGATTTGCTGTGGCCGTTGGTTTACGAGGTAGATGTGCTGTGAACAATTCTCCGACGATTTGCTGTGAACGCCGCTGCTCGCGGCTCTGCTTGATTTTTTCCATGGTTTTGATCGTTGGTGGATTTGACGGGTGGTGGTGTGTGCGCCTGTCCGGTGGTGTTGCTGATAGTATGGTTAGGTAGAGAGTGGTTGAATTTTTTTCAATTTGTGTTCTGCCAGTTCGTGTGTAGTGGCTCTGGTGGTGGTGGTGCCCCTGATAGTGGCTGTGTACGATGGTGGTGTTATTGGCGATTGTTGTTGACAGTGGTGATTTTGGGTGGAAACGGTGGTGGAGGTTGTGGTTGGTGGTTGGAGAGTTGGTAGAGTTGATTGCCTAGGTTTTTGTTAGCAATTGATTGGATCTGATGGTGAAAATTTTGGCAATAGCGATGGTAGTGGCGATGGCGGTGATAGTGATGGAGTGAGGGTGGTGGTGACAGTAGAGGTGGTGGTGGTATGTGACCCACTGTTTGACCTTTGACCAATGTGACCTTAAAAGTTGATAATTGTGAACAACAAATTCGAAAATATGTGACTAATAGATAATCTGTAACCTATAATTTTTTAATCTGCGACCAATGATGAAATTGTGACCTATAAAATTTTTGATTTGCAATCTCGAAATAATCTGTGATCAACAAAATTTTTGATTTGTGACCAACAAAAAATCTGTGACCTATAATTGGAGATTTGTGACCATAATTGTGTAATCGTGACTTTTATAATATTTAAATATTAAATATTTTTAATTAATTACATAAAAACCTGATTTTTGCATAATTAAACTTAACCACTTTAATTTTGAAGTATGCATACTTAAAACATTGTTTGTGAATTCTTCCCTTTGCTAAATTCGGGTTGTCCTGAAGTGCGTTTGGAAGTCTAGGAATTAGTATTTACATGAAACAAGAAATCACTTTCATTATCCGTTTAGGCGGTAGAGTGCTTCTTGATTTATTGTTACATACATTAATATGTATCACAATTTTTATTAGATAAAGAAATGAAGAATCTCACAATCGCCTAGATGGATGTAATAATTAGCATTATTCAAATTAAATGATAACATTGGTAGATTATGCCAACTACTTATTTGTCGACAATTACACAAATATTAAGTATAGTTTTTTGGTAAATTCTTTGAAGCTTATTTTTTATAAGCTCATTTTTAATCATATTTTTCAATAAAAAAAATTGCATGTAAATCTATAAATTCTCTACTTTTAAATAAAACGTTGTCCAAAAAATCATTTCATCTCAAAATTTATTATTAAAAAATATATCAAATAGGCCCTAAATCTCTTATTCTTATCTATGGTTAAGTTTCTAATAATCTTGGATCCTTATAAATCTTAACTCCTCATGGATTATGCTAAATTGTTTGGTTTTGTGAAGAAAGAAATTTTGGACTGGTTTAAATTCATTTAGTTTTAAATTTCTAATTCTCAGCTTTAAAAGCTGGAAAAGAGGAAAGAAAAAGAAAATTAGGAGACTAAATTTCGAGTAAAATATTACATAAAAAAATCTCGAATGACACGTATTGAATAGTCCTAAAAATGTAATTTCGATCATGGATCTCTCAGCTCTTAGCAATTTTGCTTTTGAAACGATGATTTAGCCTTGTTTGTGCTCCATTTTAATGAGGTTTTGAAAAAAGGAAAAAAAAAATATATTTTTGAGTAGTAATTTTTTGGAAAATATATTGTTAAAAAAATAATGAAAAATTTTGAATTTACTTATAATATTATTTTATTGAAAATGTATAGTTGAAAAGAAAAAAAAAAGAAATTAAAATTTTATTGAAAATGTATAGTTGAAAAGAAAAAAAAAAGAAATTAAAATTTTATTGAAGCCCCGACAAGGGTAATCTCTCTTTCATCATGTTACGGCCACCAAATGCAAATGAAATTGAAATGAGAAAATATAAATTGAAATTATGCTATTTGTACACTGTTTTTGTATAATATTGTTGACAACATTGGTTGTAGCAAAAATATATTAATTGAAATGATCAGTTATTTTTTAAACTGTTCAATAATAACTGGAATATTATCAAAATCATTTTACAGCGAACATTGTTCTATAAATTGAAATGAAATTAGACACGCGGACTTTTCAACAAACGTTATTACATAATTTATTCCTAGTCACTGTCAAACGTTCAAAAAATAATATTCAGATTTTGTCGGAAGCGCGTTTTTAACTTCGTGCCTGCACTGAGATAGCGAGAGAGAGAGTAGCCATAGAGAACCACTCCAAATTCCACCCCCGCATTCGTCATTTTTTATGCAATCCAAAGTTTTTGTCCTTTTACGCGCCTCATTCTCACACATTCTTTATTTTTCAACGTAATCACCGCCATTTTCAGCGGGAATTTTGCAACCCAAAATTTAGAAAAAATAATTATTTCTTCCTTTCTAAACAACGATGGCTTAGTGACTGCGGATATAGATGTGGGACACGAGTCAACTTGAGCCAGGTACGAACATTTTCTGGTTTTGTGAATGCTAGAGATTGAAGTTATGCTATGCTCTGTTTTTCTTGTTTTCTTGATTTTAGGGTTTTATTGTGATTGAAAATCAGGTGAAAATGTACTGAATTTGATGTTTGACGAATTCAATTGAACATCTGTAAAGCTAGTGTTTAGGGTTTTGGAGAATCTAGATTTTTGATAGCGGAATAAATGGTGGTATTGCTATTTTGAGGCCCTTTCTCAGTTCGCTTTCCGGTTGTAAAGTTAATTAGAGGAACCTTTTGGTTTTGGAACTTAATTTTGTGGCTCATTGAGTGAATCATCATAAAGATTTTATACAGTGTGAATTTTACGGATCTGTTCCTGGAATTTACTCGGTTTTCATGGCTCAGCCTAATTCGAAGCAACCAATGAGTCAGAATATTAACCTCG